TCAGTGTACTATGCAAACTTCCAGTCATTTCTTTTCATACCAACAGTTCATGATAAACTCTAAGAGGAAGGTTACACCTACCCAGAGTCTCACTTGTCTAAAAATACATGTCTTCCCAGGGGACTCCACAAATGGCCTAGCCAGACTCCTACTCATCTTATGAACTGATATATTATTCCTAGCAACACTTCAAATTTTAATGGTGTAGGGGTTAAGTAAGGAAGACTGAAGTAAAAACATATAGATCAGGTCAACCAAGTCCAAGGTTCCAAATGAAGAGGTCTAGGGTTGGTTTTATTACCTACTTGTTCTAAGTGGTATGGCTACAGTAACTTTTGAGCTCTAGATGTTAACATAAATTTTGTTTTAAGGACTGGGGATATAGCTCAACTGGCAGAGTGCTTGCCTCGAATGCACAAGGCCCTGGATTCAATTCCCAGCACCAAAACAAAACAACAACAACAACAACAAAAACACGAAAGTTGTATTTGCTACAAATAAAACTAAATTTGTCTAGACAGAAGAAAAACATTTTTAAAAGGGCTTCAGAATTTTAGATGTGCTCCTAAACTTCCCTCAGACCTCTTTTCTTGTTTTTTTTTTTAAAGATGGACACAATACCTTTATTTCATTTATTTATTTTTATGTGGTACTGAGGATTGAACCCAGAGACTCACATGTGCTAGGCAAGTGCTCTACTATTAAGCTACAAATCCCATCCCAGTACTATTTTCTTTTCTTTCTTCTTTTTTACAAGGCATTCCATCTGGTATTTCTCAGGCTGTGGGTATAAAGATGTATTTGCTTCCATGATTATAGTTGTTTGTACCATAGAAACTGAGAAAATAAAAATTTATGCTTTCATACAATCTAATGCTAAATTCAGCATGTAATTAATCACACACTGCCTCAAAAGTCCTTTTCTTTGTTCTGGTTTTGGAGGTTAAGTACTTGATAAAGTTTTTTAAAAAATTGTGCCCTAATGATTCTATCTCAAATGTTATAATGAACACATTTAAAAAAAATGGACTCTCAGCAGTCCACAACAAAGGAAAATGTAATATAAATGCAGTCTAATTATCAACAGGTCCTTCCAGGTTCTTCTTCCTCAGAAGTGAAACCTTTCTTGGATACCAAGAGTGCCCCAATATTTGATTATTAACTGTAGAGCATCCTCCTCCTTCACAGAAGCTGTGAAAGTACAAATTGTATGTGTTATGGCATGCACAGAGGATGATGGTAGGAAACAGAAAATTCAACAAAGCCCAAAGATCCTAACAGGAAAGGAATTAGAACCCCCACCAAACATGTATTAAAATTAACATGAGACCATTATTCAATATGCTAACAGATACTAGAACATCCTAATCATATCATTATATCTAAGAATTATGAAGTAATCATCTTGCAGTGCATACACTTATTAGATTATTGGGTTTTGAGTCTTCCCATTTCCAGAGCAGGGAGGGGAAAATCTCAGCATCAGAAGACAAGAATAAATGTTTTGAGGGTAGTGTTGAATAACGAAGGCTGGAAGGATAATTTATACAGCTTGAAGAACTCAGAGATATGAAAAATTTATATTCCAATAGCTAATTAATTTTATTCCTACTAAGGTTACAGGGCTAGTTTATATAAAGGTCTATTTTTTTTTTTTTTTGGTACTGGGGATTGAACCAGGGACTCTCAAACACTGAGCCACATCCCCAGCCCTATTTTCTATTTTATATAGAGAAAGGGTCTCACCAAGTTGCTTAAGTGCCTCACTTTTGCTGAGGCTGGCTTTAAACTCGTAATTCTCCGGTTTCACCCTCCCAAGCCACTGAGCCCAGTAAGGTTTAATTTTTTCAATCTTATTTTAGTCATACATCTAAGTTACACAAATTATTTGGAAATTCAACACAAACTGCAAGTTTAGTCTATAGAAGGGCTTCCACCTTTCTTCAAGCTAATAATACTAATAGTGGCATCTGGTAGTAATGATGGTGTGAAGAGCCAGTGGAAATTATGCTTAAAACCTTTCTTTCTGTAAAAGGTTAAGAATCTCAAATGGTTTATCAAGAAATTGGAGGACACTAAAGTTTTAATATCTCTACCATAGACTTTCCCCCCACATTTTAAAAAATTCTAATTTGTTATGTATGACAGCAGAATGCATTACAATTCATATTAAACCTGCAGAGCACAAATTTTCATGTCTCTGGTGTACATTCTACCACAGACTTTTAACAATAGGCCAAATTAGCTTTATATTTAAGTATATATAAATAAATCCAAAACTTAACTACAATAAAAATCATATTAGCCCATCCAATTTCCCCCCTTTTGTCCTAGTTTCTTTTTTGCTGGGAAGAGGCGTAGTGGGATAATAATAGCAGGAAATAAGGTGGAGCAGCTGCACAGGCAAGATGAGGTACAGTGTGTTTCACCTCCGTTCTAGCCTACTGATGGCTAGGTCTTATTAAAAACGAGATTTGCTGTTTGGGGACCCATACATCATTAAAATGTTTAGAATCAAGAGGTGGTCCCCTATTTTCTCACTTTGGCAGCAACTTTTTAGGGCCTCTAGTAGGATTCAGTTAATACAAGCCATGCTGAAGAGAATTTAAATTATTTAGGAAAATTCAAAGGATGCGTACCTTAATGCTAGCAATAACTGTCTGCTATAGACTAGGGCTTGAACTAAATTTTAGTCCCACAAATCTAGGGAAATAACCCACAGAATTATAAAGAAATGACTACTCAGGGCTGGGGATGTGGCTCAAGTGGTAGCACGCTAGCCTGGCATGCGTGCGGCCTGGGTTCGATCCTCAGCACCACATACAAAACAAAGATGTTGTGTCCGCTGAAAAACTGAAAAATAAATATTAAAAAATTCTCTCTCTCTCTTAAAAAAAAACAAAAAACCTCTCTCCTGCCAGGGCCCCCATCTCTTGTTCTCTCTGTCTCAATCTCTTGCTTCACTCTCCCTTGCTCTTTCTTAAAAAAAAAAAAGAAAGAAATGACTACTCTATAAATATCTGTAATAATATTTAATATAGTTCATGGAACTTCACCTTAATGTTGTTGTTATTTTACTGAGACACTAACAGTGATAATTACTTAGATATCCTTTTTCAGGTCAAAACATTACATCTATTATAACTACCAAGACTAATAAACTTTGTGAGGTTTGCTAAATAGAATAACAGATATTATAAAGATAGTATTTTGGTTATATCAGGTTAAAACAATCTCATCTTTGCTAATCCATAAAAAGAAATTAGCATCTCAATTGTTGTTTCATGCAATATGTATAGAAAGGAGAACTTTAAGACTAGTTTAATAACATGGCAATACAGATGGTATCTCATTTAAGCAACAGATGTGCTCTTGGAAAACTGAGCTCAAACCAGCTACTTATAAAAAAATCAAATATTAATATATAAGAACATATACATTCATATGCTGCTTTACAAAGGAGGAATCCTTTTGCAATCCAAATAATTGCTATGTAATTTATAAATGCAATTTTTAAAAAAAGAACAAGCACACCTGTATTGTTTCAAATTTATTTTAAAAGTAACTAAAAATATTGTTCAGGTCACTGATCCTTTTACCATTTTAACGAAAACCTCAACAGTAACCCAAATTTTGAAATATTTCATGATTTTACTTCAAAGGGTCAGGTAATCTAACCCCATGATTCATATTAAGATTAATAAACTGGATGCAACCATCCTAGCCTTCAGCTGGGAGTTTAGCACAAATCTATCAAACAGTATTTAGCCTACACTAAAGGGGTTGGGGGGGGGGGGAGGAGGAGTAATCCCTAGGGAATATGAATTCTCCAAACAGGGAAGAGGGTGAAATAGTAAGTAGCCTTTTCCTCAGTAAGCATGAAATCTAGACAATGCTTTCCATATTACTGAAATAAAACTGGAGCTAACAACATGCAACTATTTCACAAAGGGAAACAAATTATTCTTCATGTTCTGGTCTAATCCCAGCCCCGATAAACACAGTGTATACTGAAGTATGAGTTTTACTCAGGATATTCTTTTCCATTTCTTAATAGAATTCAGCTGGCACAAGCTCTAGACCTGGTTGATTAGGAGGTGACCTGTATTTGAGAGGGCGGACAACATGGGACTGTTTTTATTTTAACCTATACAAAGCTTTATTTACTTATTTTTCCTTGGAAGAGAGTATGGGTCCCTATCAGATATTCTGGAATACGTGAAATTTGGGGTTAACTGTATGTAGTTGGTATAAATTCAATACTCGAGTGGGAACTAAAAATGATTTAATTGTAAGCCAAACTGAATGATCTCCCAGGAAAAAGAACCTCCTCCTCTCCTGCCTTTTCTACCTCCTGCCCCTCCCCCAACAACACTGCCTCCCTGCTGTGCAAAGAGCCCTTTGTCCTGCCCCGCACTTATCTAGCTGTTTGGCCATATTGACAGGCCTACTGGAGGCATAATAAGGGAGTCAGTCTGACATAAGCAGCTGGCAATTTGAAACAAAAATCTTCCTTTTCTACTCAGACCAAATCCTGCTGCAGAGGTCTCTGGCTCCTCCCATACTTCCATCTATTTCTCAAATAGAGCAGCAAGGATTTCAGTATTTTCCCCTGATTAGGTTGCACAAATCAAAAACTTGATTCCCTAGACAGAAGCCAATTCTGTATGAATTCCTATAGCCATTGCTTTTTCAGTGAATTCATGACAGAAGCCAAAATGCATCCTCTGCTCTGGGTGTATGTATGTAACTAAGGAAATGATGATTTCTTCAATTTGCCATCAAAACTCTGGGAATCCTTAAAAGACAAGAAGAGCACAGAATAGAAACGAAACAACATACATTTTAATCAAGCAAAACTGACCAGTAATTTAGTATTTTAAAAATACTGAGATTACAAGAAGCACAGAATTCATTTACCCTTCTTCATATCAAAGATACTTAATGTGACTTTACATTAAGTCAGATACTCCCCCAGGTATTCAGCAAACAAAATCAGTATGATGGAAAACCTGAGTGAGGTAGGATGAGATTACAAATTTCTTGCACAGTGAGGGCAACATAAAGTAGACTAAGACAGCTTCATTGTTCCTTTATTATGTGTCATGGTTCCCATCATTAAGTGTTAATAATACATTTTATCAAAATAAGAGAATCCTCTAAAGTGATGCTTTCTAATAGCACCAGCCTTCAAAGTTACTGGGCATTGTCTCAATTTATAACTGAATACACAACAGGAAAATTTTCAGAATGCTAAATGATACAACAAAATTAAGTATAGGTAAGGGAAGGAAAGAACATTTTCTCTGCCTTTCATGACCTTCCTGTTAGAGAAATTCCTATGATGGCCATGTTACATTTACTTTCTAAGGAGTAACTCTGAAAGGATATTTTAAATCAAATTATAAACAACTACCAGTTATTTTACTATATATGTTATCTTACACATTTTGCAGAGCTAAACTGTTTTGTCTTAAATAAAACATACCTATTAAATTTTACTTTTCAATAAATGAAACACAATTTTTAAAATATTTCTTTTTTACTTTTAGGTGGATACAATATCTTTATTTTGCTTTTATGTGGTGCTGAGGATAGAACCCAGTTCCTCATGCATGCTAAGTGAGCACTCCACAACTGAGTCACAACCCCAGCCCAAATGAAACACCTTTTTTATAATCAAAATTCACTCCTATGCCTTTAAGTTTCAAACTAAACTACTAATCACCAGAATTCAACCAAACGTTATAAAAGATTTGTATTTTACTCATCATCTAATTTCTCTCTGATAAGATGTTTGCAAATCACTAACTGTTAACTATGGCCTAATATTTCCTGGTATTTCAATAAGTGGAGGATAAAGTAAAAGTGGTTAACTGCACATCTGCATTTTATACTGTTTTTTCCAAAAACAAAATAGCCACTGCTCTCGAAAGGACCAGAATACTTTCTGAAAGCATGTTGTCCCTGGACACAAAACACTATCAAAATATGTTAAAAAAAAAAAAAAAACCAAATATACAGTTCAATAAATCCTTCTATAAAAATGTCCTCTATGATTCTTCAGAAAATGATTAAGACCACAGTGGGCTCCAAAAACCAGAAATATAAGTGAAAAGGCAGTTATTTTATTATGCAACATTTATATTATATAGGAATAAACTAAAACACTTGTATTTTCAATAAGCCAGTCAGAATTAGCGAAATTGTATTTATCTGACATAGCATCATTCATATATATATATATATATATGATAGTAATAAGAATTAGAACCACCTAAAATATTATCCATTAAAGGCTCTGCTTTTAGGCTTGCTTTTATCACTGGAAAAACAATATGAGCCACATTTGTGAATGACAAAAATGCTTTCCATTCTTTCTGGTTGCCTGCCACAAATGCCACAGTCATACTACAAATTATAGATGTTTGTGGGATTTAAGTACATTTATACAAAATTGCATAAATCAAAATTCAGAGGAAAAGAGGTATAGGTTGCATGGGGTTGGGGGGAGTAACACATTGGGCATATGTTAAGTACTGCATGCAGTCAGTGCTATATTTGGGTGGTAGTTCTCCCTCAAGTACTTCCATATTCGACAGACTGTTCTGCTTAATCAGAGATCATCCTAATGTTCAGGAGTTGTGGGGGAAGGGAGACAACGTCAGGGACTCAGGCTGTCTTTCAGTATTCAGAACTAGACTTACTCAATTTCTTAACATTTCTTCTGGTTTGTCTTATATTTCAGATGTTTTATGGCCAAAGATATATCCCTGTGATGTCCAACATATATATAAAATGCATCAAATTTGTTGGTCAAACACCAAAGAAAATATATAACCTGGAGATGTCTACGTATGAATAATTTTTAAAAAAACTGTATCTAGAAAAAAACTCCAAAATGAAATCTCTTTTTAGAGTTTAAGATTTCCAAGTTTAGCAAAATGTCTAGCAAAACATCTATTCAATAAGATAAAAATGGCCTATTCAACGGAAGGAAGGAGACACCCAAGAACAACAAAAATCAAAATTGACTCAATGATTAAAGAGATGGTCAAAAAACACTCCAGCTGCAGGGGAAAAAAAAGAACACCCCCCCCCAAGACCTTTGATTGGTTTTAAATGGATTTAAAAAAAAAAAAAAAATCAAAACTCTGATGGAACTTTTAATTTTATACAAGCATAAAATCCCAGGTTAAGAACAAAAATCTGCCCCCAAACCCCCAAACCTAAAAGCAAAAAAACAAAAATCAAGAAAGTATTTTAAGTATGATGCAATTTCCAAATACTGATATCCATAAATGGGTAGATTATGAATTACTAATTCTCATCTCCCCACCAATAAAAGGCAAACCAGCTCAGCAGTGAAAATTCCCAGGAAAGCAAGGTTTCTTCTCAGTCCTGAGGCAGCCATCGCCTAAGTGCAGCTCCCTGCAGCCAACAGCATTAATGGACGCTGCACTGCTGTCCTTCCCTGGAGACAGCAGCCAGCACTACTCAAGCTTCTCACGTAGCAACCAGAGCTCTAGAGCCAGCAGCTGCTGCTGCCTTGTATACTCACCCCTGTGATCCAACACAGGAACAACCTTCTCTTTACCCCACCCCCACTCCTCACACTTTTTTGGGGGGGAGGGCGGCGGTGGAAGAGATGCTCCATTCTAGAAGGGCTAGAATTATGCTTTTAAAAAAACAATCCTAAGGTCACCCTTTTAAATTGAGGACTTTTATTAAGAGTGGTGTTGGGAAATAAACATTTATTAAATTCTAAATATTGGTTTTAATCAAGTCAGTAATTTAGGAGTAAAGATTAAGGTGTAGTCTTTAGAAGGCCAATTTTCCAAGCACTCAACAGTCGAATTTAAATTTGCAGCTAGAGACAGACCCTTGTGTCATGTCCTACCAAAGGACACAATTCATTTTTCTACACATAATGACAGTGTGAGTAAACCTTAAAGACTCTAATCCCATAACGGGCCAGAATTTTGGGCTACAAAAGAGAACTAATGATCCTCCTGAGAAAACTGGAAGAAATCCAAAAAATAAAAATAAAAATAAAAAATTCCTGTGTCCTCCAAGAGGCCCAGAAACCTCTGATTACGTGAGAATTCTCTGCTTTAGTCCTAGCTCATATCCCCTTTTAATTCTTCTCAGTGACCTAAAAACATTAATATAAAATTAACCATTAAAAATACTTTTCCCCAAATGCAGAGCATATAACATTAACCTGAAAAGCTCCTAACACTCAGCTGGATCTTTCTCAATCAAAAGTATAGCTATGAAACATATGCCCAACTAAGAAACATAAATATGACCTTGGTCACAAATATGTCATTAAAAACAACTTGTTAAGCCAAGGCATGAAGGAAATTAGGAGAGAACCTGGGGATTCTTTCAGTACAACAAGCACAAGGAAAATTGGAGAAATGAACTCAGGTACAGACAAAGCCCAGTGGAACCCAGAGCTCTGGACAAGAAATGAGTACTGGTGAACACATTGCACAAGTAACATGAGAAAGCAGAAAATGCAGGTCATACACGCACCCCTGACCCAGACCAGCAGAGCTGGCTGCAGCATCAGTTAGTATCCAGGAGAAAGACTACTTATTCCTTAAGCGACAGAAGCAAAGGAGCTCTATAGAATAAATTAGCATAGAAGGGGCTTTCCCAGCAGCTAAAACTTTCCCTCTCACGCGCCTCACCTACTAAACCAGGGCTTTTCCCCACCACCATTCACTTCACATCTAGACTTGCACGCAGAGAGAAACAGAATTCATAAAGGGTAAATTTTTCTGCCTTTAAAGACGTTCTAAAAAGATCGTTTTCCACGCCCAAGGCAGGGAAAACAACAAAATCTGGCTCAGCTCCGGCCCGAAACCCAACCAATTCAATGGGGGAATATCTCTGGGAGAGAGGGGCATACGCCACAGAAAGCCCAAGAATGTGAGGTGGGGGTGGCAAAGGTAATATCTTCAGTGTGGCAAAGAAAGCAGCCATCGGAGGTGGGGACCCAGAACCCAGAGGGAAGCCATCCAGAGAGACCATGGAGGGGAGATCGGGGCCCCCAAGAGCTATGAGAGTTGTCACAAGGCCTCGAGAACGGGGGTTGGGAGGTGGGGGCTCGCGGACAGGAGGGGGAAAAAAGTACACCCGTGTATTTTGAGAGCAGGGAAGCAAGAGGCCTATGTCCAAGTAAAAGGTAAACGTGGAGTAGGCAGTTCCCAGGAAAAGGGGTGAAGAGGCGTGGGGGGAGGGGAAGCGTCCTGACCCAGGAAAGACATGAAAAGGGTAGTGGGGTCGACTCGATCACACGGGGAGCCTTTTTCCCTTGGAAAGAGGGGTGCAATGATGTGTAGGGGTGGCGAGGAGAGAAGGGGTAGCATCTTCCTGCTATGTGCAGGGGAGGGCCAGGCCCACGTCCCGAAGAGAGGGAGTCCGGGGAGACGGAGGAGGTGACCCTTCCTCCCCACCGGGGCCCGGTCGTGAGGGTTGGTGTCTCTTTTCTATCGGACCCTTACCTTGTCCCAGGCGCTGCCGGGGCCTGGGCCCGGGCTGCGGCGCACGGCACTCCCGGGAGGCAGCAAGACTCGAGTTAGGCCCAACGCGGCGCCACGGCGTTTCCTGGCCGGGAATGGCCCGTACCCGTGAGGTGGGGGTGGGGGACAGAAAGGCGGAGCGAGCCAAAGGCGGGGAGGGGGAAGGGCCAGGGAGGGAGGGGGGCCGGCACTACTGTGTTGGCGGACTGGCGGGACTGGGGCTGCGTGAGTCTCTGAGCGCAGGCGGGCGGCGGCCGCCCCTCCCCCAGCGGCGGCGGCGGCGGCGGCGGCGGCAGCTCACTCAGCCCGCTGCCCGAGCGGAAACGCCACTGACCGCACGGGGATTCCCAGCACCGGCGCCAGGGGCACCCGGGACACGCCCCCTCCCGCCGCGCCATTGGCCTCTCCACCCACCGCCCCATACCCATTGGCCAGCTCGCCGCCAATCAGCGGAAGCCGCCGGGGCCGCCTAGAGAAGAGGCTGTGCTCTGGGGCTCCGGCTCCTCAGAGAGCCTCGGCTAGGTAGGGGAGCGGAACTCTGGTGGGAGGGAGGTCCGGTGGACTGGGTGGAGGGATGGGTGGTTGAGGTGGCCCCACTATGGCTGGAGAAGTCGTCTTCTCCCGCGAGATGCCGGGGGTACAACGTTTGTACGGCTGGAAGGGGAAGGGGGTGGTCGGTCGAATACGGGCGGGAGGTCGGCCCGCCCTGCGGCAACCGGAGGGGGAGGGAGAAGGGAGCGGAAAAGGTTTGAAGCCGGACGGAGCCATTGCTTCTGCAGAGGGTGGAGCGCTTCCGGTTCTCCTCTTGTCTCTGATTGGTCGCTTCTCCTCCCGCCGTGTGTGAAAACACAAATGGCGTGTTTTGGTTGGAGTAAAGCCCCTGTCAGTTACAACCTCCAGAGTGCGCAGCCGCCTGGTGACTCTCGCGTTGCCCCGTGGGTGGGGCGAGTAGATAGGTGGGGTGAAGAGAGGTGGACGTGCGGGCGCGGTCGGCCTCCCGCAGGGGGAGGGGAGGGTCAGTGAAAGTGGCTGATGTGTGGGGTCCTCTTACCCTCCCCTTCTTTTAGGGGAGTCGGTTTACCCGCCGCCTGCTTGGCTTCATCATCTGATTGGCTACTGTTGCTGGGAGAACTAGCCCTTGCTACTGGCTCGAGTCCCAAGTGAACGAAACCACTGCGCGGGCCGGTGGGGGTGGCAGGGAGGAGGTCGTTGGTATGGTCCTCCCTGAGGCCCAGCGCCGCAGTGTCTGGCCCCGCGCCCCTGCGCAACGTGGCAGGAAGCGCGCGCTGGAGGCGAGGGCGGGCTGCGGACCCAGGCTTCTGGGTGGTGGCAACCACGGCTCCGCCCCAGGCCCCCTCCGCTAGGGGGACGAGACAAGCCCGACCAGCTCCAGACACCCGTGGGGGTGGGGGAAGGAGCGGGGGTCGGTCCTACTGGCTTGTGGGCGGGAGGCGCGTGGTCTCCAAAAATCGGCGGGCGCGCTGCAATCCTGAGGGAGCTGCAGTGCGGGAGGCGGGGAGAAGGCCGCACCCTTCTCAGTAGGGGGAGGGGAGCTGCCGCAATACCTTTATGGGAGTTCTCTGCCGCCTCCGGTCTTCTAAGGACCGCCTTGGGCCTAGAAGAATCCCTTCGCCCTTCCCCCTCTCCACAGCGTGATCTCATCATCGCCTCCATGTCGAGTTGCTTCTCAGTTATGGGCGGGATTCTTTTGGCCAGGCTGAAGAGCTGATCTGGTGCCTGGGCGTTGTCCTGCTGGGGAATTGAGCAGGTGTAAGATTTGAGGGACGAGTCTTCCCACGGATTTGAGTTTGTTTGAGGAGGTAATTATACTAGGGGAGAAGCAGGAAAATGGAGCCTAGGCGTTCGCCTGGGGTTAATTTTATTCAGTGAGACTGCGGGTTATTACTACTTAAGGTCTTTCTGGAGTATTATTCCTAGAGATAGATTAAAGGTATGATCACCCGAGTTTTTACTCACCCCACTTGAGACCCTTGCTACACCACCAAAGTACAGCATCTCAGATTAAATCGTAATCGTAAAATTTTAGCCTTTGCTTCAGAACCCAGTGCTTCCCTCTCTTCCTCCATATCCGTCCTAGCAGGCATTTTAGTAACTCTAAGACTTTGGTCCCATTTTTTCATCGTTATACTTGTTCATCCAGTCTCCAGACACATACTGCTGGCTTTCTCTCTCTCCTGATCTTAGGTAGCTTCATGAGTCATGAAACCAGACAGATTGGTTCCACCACAAATTTAGGCTTGATCTGGAGCCTCCCTCATACCCAGCAGTCTTCCTCCTTGGAATGTTTACCTTCATTTTTATTTTACTTTTTTTCCCCCTTAGTTGGGATTCTACCCCTGGGCCTCTTCACAGTTCATGTAATTTGAATACTGCTTTATTGAGAATTGGACCTGAGGCTCAGCATTCAACATCTGCTTTTCTCTTTTGAATACCACTCATTCCATCCCTTTATATTTGTTCTCATTGGATAGTAACTAAGTTCAGTTGCCACTATAATAGCCTCCAAAGTGGTGTGTCTTCCTGCACTAGCATCTTTTGGTTCATCCTACATGTTGCTAGACAGTTGTCCATTCTAGAACAGGAAAATGAGACTTGAAACTCAACTTGCTCCTTACTACTTAACATGGTGAATTCAGTTCTCACGGATGTGACACACAGGGACCCCAAGTTGGACTTGTATTTGCAGTATGAACCTAGGGGCTTGTGCATGCTAGGCCTGCACTACATTCCCAGCCTTTTCTCTCTTTCTAAAATGTTTTCAAGACATGGCCTTGCTAAACTGCCCATGCTGGCCTTGAGCTTGGCCGTCCTTTTGCTTCAGTCTCCCAAGTTGCTGAGATTACAGGTGTGCACCACTGTGCCTGGCTGCTAACCTTATTTTTTTTAAGCTGCTTTTTCTATTGTCATTGTTTTCCACATACACAGATCAAACATCTTAAGTTACACAGAGATGTTTGCTCTTTGCCCAAGTCATAATGACACTTTCATGCATCTTTGTAGGGTGTCTCCTTCTGGAATGTTAGCCCTATTTGCACCTTACCCTTTAAGACAACAGATTCACTTGTCTGGAAGGATCTATTGTTATATGAGCCATTCTGCCCAGATACCCTTTAGCATTTTATACTTGCTTGAGTCATAGCATTTCTTGTGTTGTCTTCAACATGCTGGCTTGAACATGATTACCTGTGCTGAGCTTCTTGAGGATCCAGTCTCTTGTTGGGTCTTGTACTGCTAAACTACTATATTGCTTGATGTTTAGCCAACCCTGAGTAAAATGGAGTGAGTAGCATGTGAACGATTTTAATAAAGTTTGATATTTTATTTGTTTTCAAGTGCTTGTTGTGTTCTTCCTAGTACCTGAGATTAACATTGTCTAGGAGAACTAAAGGACTAAAATTTAAATTTTGTTAGAATTGCCACCGTGGACAGTGTATCTGTAACCTCCAAAGTAATTTTGATCCAGAGGATGTATAAATGCCAGCGTATCTTAATACTAAAAATTTTTTTTTATGTGCTAATGTGTATCTTGTAAATTTCATTTTGTACATTGTAAGACACATTGCAGGGGGGTTTTCTTAAAATTTCTCTTTAGGACAGTGGTCTTCAAACCTTCAGTATACACAAAAATAATTGCCTTGCTTTTTTTTTTTTTGAACCTAAGGGTATTTAATCAGTGGGTCACATCTCCACCCCTTTTTATTTTGAGAGGGTCTCTGACTAAGTTGCTGAGAATAGCATTGAACTTGTGATCCTCCTGCCTCAGCCTTCTGAGCTGCTGAGATTATAGGCATGGACTACTGCTCATGTTTATTTCTTTACTGTAAAGGTGTAACTGCAGGGCTATGCCTTTTTACCTATAAAAATAGATAACATGTTTCCCATGTACTTTGTCCCTCAAAATTTTTCTCACCTGAACTGTTTCTCCTCCACTTTGCCCCACTAAGGGAGAACATTTTGAAAAGCAAAGAATAGTAATTTTTTTAACAAGAAAAGTTAAAAAGATTTTCATGTTTTTCTCACTAAATTGCATTCCTCAAGGATGTCTTTGATTCCCCAGTGCCTAAATACTGAGTTGGGAACTCAGTAAATGTTGGTTTTATTGATTTTATTTGTGAATTTAGTTTTCAAATAATAATTTTAACCCATAAAACATGGAAGCAAGGCTCTTTTTATCTTGGAAACTTTAGGGTCATACTTAACCTAAGTCTCCTCAAATTCTGTTCACAGAGGAAACTGATGGCATGTGGTCTCTGAATGCATCTGTCCACTGTTCTGCTCTTCCTTCCGTCTCTTGTACTAACCATTGCAGTTATCCTCTTCCTGTGCTTCATTTCCTTTGGACTTTTTGGTTAAAATAAACCAGCTATCTCCTTTTGAAGTAGTGGTATACTATTTCCTGTACTCCTAAGACAAAAGCTTATGAAATTATGAAATACTTGGACTTGAGAAAAATGATGAAAGTTTTCTGGGGGCTTGAGGATTTCTTTCTTTTTAATGAATAGAAATTTGGTATAGTTACATAATTATGATTTGCAGTTGTTGTTAATCCAGGATATGATAAGGATCAGCTTCACAAAGATAAAAGACTAGTTTGAGGCCAATTAGAGCACTTTAGTAGGTCACAAATCTAGCAGTCTTGACTTTAGGTTGGGAATTCTTGATTTTGTTTATCTAGTAGTACTCCAGTTTATATTAGAGGACATACTTCTCCAAAAGATTTTTGTTATTCACCACTCCCCATTCTTGATGGAGTAAGAAATTGGGTTATTAGAGAACTGCTAATGAGCATGGAATCTGTGTTCATGTTTATTTTATCTAGGTCATTATTAAACCAGATGAATTTTTCCTGCTTTGTTGGGGCATACCCAAATCATGTTTGTGGAAGTGGTTATTTTCTCACCCAACTAGTGTATGCATTCTAGTCAACTCAACAGTCTTCATAGGCATTCCTATTTATATACTTTTCATGTAAGTTTTATCCCAGAAATCAGGTACTGCTTCTTAAAATAAATAAAATAGTGTGATAGGCACAAGCTAATGGAAACATAGGTAGAAGCAAATATTGAGTGCCTTTTATGTATGAAGTGGTGTGCTGAATTATTTACTATGTGTTTGGTATGGTCATCATATATAAAATCCTGTTTTACAGGGTAGGAAACTAAAGCTTATGCTTAACAACTTTCTCATGGTAACAAGTTGAGAGCCAGTGATGAAAACACTGGTCGTCTAACCATCTGTGTTCTTTAACCAACTTGTACTCTCTTGCTTTCTTGGAAACCTTTTGTGAAATTTACTCTGGCTATAGAATACAAGATGGGGTGGTAGGGATACAGATATTTGAAAGCAGAGAGACCACTTTGGAAGTTCTCTTATAGAAGCTCACACTTGTGAAGTGAGACAAGATCTGGTTTAGGAGTGATGGCAGTCGCAATGGAAAGGAAGTTAAAGGATTTGGTAACATTGTCACTGGGAAGGAGAATGGTCTCAAAACATCAAATTTTAAGGGATGCAGGGTAGGGAAAGTTAAAATTGATAAATTTGGTTTTATGTGTGAATATGTTACAGTGAAATCCACCATTCTCTGTAATTGAAATGTGTCAGTAAAGGAAAAAAATGACTTCTCAAGGAAAGTTTTGATGCCCACATTCCTACCAATTTTGGTCTTCGTCTTTGAATGTTATCATAACTCACAGTTTTAATTAAGAGAGTAACTGATCTTTTTCCTCCCCTACTTTAGGTTGCTTCTTGAGGGCAAGACAGTACTTATGAATGGCTGTGTCCCTGTTGCCTAAGCAAAAGGAGGAAAATTCTTTTCATAATACCATGGTGTTTGTAAATTGTTCCACATTCTTGAAAGTATGCAAATGCTACATGATGTATGATGACATTGTCACGGATGTTAATTCATGAATGATGATGTATGTACTTGAACTTTCTAAGGTGGCAAGCAGGTAGGTTTAAGTATGAATTTTTTAAAAGAAATTTTTAGGTTATATGTTCTATAACCTACAACCTCAATGTCATGCAGTTGTCTTGTCATTTTACTTGTGCCTTAGAAAATCCTGGCATTTTTTCACACTGCACATTTTTAAATTTGGTATACATCTTTTTTCTTTTTCTTTTTTTTTTTTTTTACTTGTAGATGAAAACACAGTATCTTTATTTTTGTGTGGTACTGAGGATTGAACCCAGTGCCTCACACATGGGAGGCAAGTGCTTTACCACTGAGCTACAGCCCCAGCCCCATTCATCTTACCTTGTTTTTTGCAGTGATTTAAATATTTTCTCCAAACTTCCAAATTTTAGAACTACAGCTTATTTTAGAATTTAGTAATTTGTACTGAAAGGCTCAAAAAAGATAAGGCTACTTGTTCAAGCCCCAGTTTTCACCATCTATGATTTAAAATGCTACACAAATTGACTTGAAGGAGGGAAGAACTGACCAAAGAAACTATATGAAATAAAAATATGAAAGTTGTCTTTTGTTTGGCTTTAAAGATAATTTAATGTAGCATGTCTTATGAAATAGAATAATTTGTATAGTGTTGGTACCACCTATGTTGTAGAGTCATTTTGAAACTAATTCAAACTTGCAGTTTTTTTGGTTGTTCTTGGGTTTTTTTTTTTTTTTGAAAGGTATTGAATATTTTAAATGTTGACATGATACAAGAAAACAAAAATCATTAGAGGTTTCAAACCAGAAATGAAAAAGCTACTGATGTAAATTATTGCATTGTATTGGCTGGAAAAACATACAAAAAAGCTAAGAAATTTAAGAGGTATAGTGCACATTGCTAATTATCTGCTAGATGGTAAGAAATAATTATAGTAGTTCCTTTTTTGTACATTACAGCAACTTGTCATGTTAAAGATTTGTGTGAACTCTGAATCTCTTGTGTGGAAGTGTACTTGCACTTTACGATGTACAAACATGGCTAAGCTTGTTATTTTACTTGTATTTGCTCGGCATCAGGTAATCAAAGATAACCTTTATATGGAAGTGTGGTAATAAACACTACATGTCCTAAAATAGTCCAAGTGTGGAATTACTTTTTAAATCTCATGCTTTATCCTGAACAATTATCTGTTGACATTTGCACTAATGGTGGGAAAGCAGCAGTGAAAAAAACTGTGGGCACCTTAGCACAAATTAAGGCAATTACATAAAACTGGTAGTCCTTCATTGCCATGCATCACTAAAATAAAACCAAAAGGATTAAAAAGCCACTTTCTCTAGGTATGGTGGCATAGCCTGTAATATCAACAGTTTGGGAGTTTGAGGCTAGCCTGGGCAACTTAGCAAGACCCTGTCTCAAGAGAACTAGAGACATGGACTCCCCTGTGTCTTCCCACCCCAAAAGCCAATTTTCACATGAAAACAATAAAATTATTTTGTTAAATGTGGACTCCACTACTGGGGATTGATCCTAGGGGAGGCCCACATATGCTAGGCAAGTGGTCTTATGATGAGCTATATAACAGCCCTTTTTAAAATTTTCTTTTCAAGATTGGTCCTAACAAAGTTGGGCCTTGAATCTTCCTACCTCTGAAGCCCAAATAGCTGGGATTATAGGTGTGTACCACAGTGACCAGTATAATTTGTCGGTATGAATGAGGGAATGTAAAGTTTGCATAAAGTACTTTGTACAGTGGTTGTCTTTAGAAAAACTACTCATGCAATAGTGTTGCAAGCTGAATGTTTTTCTTGGAGCACCATTTTTTACTTGAAAGAATAACAAGTGTTATTTGTAGTTTGCTACTGTGAAGAAGTGAGCCTGTTCAGGAAACAACTAACAGCAATTAAAATCAAACTTTGAAGTGAAAATCAGAATTTTGAGAAAACTTGTCTCTACTCTCAGCATGACAGTTGGGCTTTTATATGCTGATACTTGAAGACATTAGGTACTATATAGTGAAATGGGACCAACTTCTGGGAGTTTCCATAATTCAGCGTGTATTTTCCAGCTAACCAATACAAAAATAACAAAACGGCAATGTCTCAACCAGTTGAATGCAGAAGATAAAAATCCAGCTGCTTTCCATTAACCCAGACCTAAGAAAATTAGTTACAAAAAATGTAAAACAATGCCACTCTTCTAATTACTTTTGAAAACAGTTACTGCCATGAAAATCAATGCTACAATATTTAGATTTTTTTGTTTTAATTTCTAATGGTAAAATATTGGTTAAGAAAGCTATTGAGGCCCTCAATTTTTAAGAATGTGGAAGGATCCTGCCTGAGACCACACAAGAATGAAAAGTGGCTGTCCTAGCCTGTAATACACATGGTAAACAGATGCATGGATGACTGTGTTAAGGGCATGCTAGGACAAGGAGCAGGTTTCTAAGAAAAGTGTATTTTGGGATGGGATGTACAAGGCTAATAGGCAGTTACAAATTAAGAATTCAGGGCTTGAGAAAAACTAAGCACCATTATCCTTCCTAGTAAAAAACTGGTTCTACTATAAATCTGTCATTGAGTAACTTGTAACTTCACAACTGATTAGCAAATGTGTTAACCCCGGGACAAAAGGGTAAGGGGTAATATGGTAGGCCTATTATGAAGCATCTGACATTTTTTCACATTGCACATTTTAAAATTTGATATGCAGACATGTTCTTGGGTGTTTATTCTGAACTTGTTTTAACCTACCAATGTGCGATAATTAAATTTACTCCCCCCCCCCCCCCAGCTATCACACTTTGACTATATCCCCACTGACCTTCATGCAGGACACCTCACTTGAATGTGGAAAAGGCTATGCTGAGAATGGGCAAATAATTTTCCCTTTTTTATGCCTGTGTCACTAATGAATATTATGTACTCACAGGCTTTATTATACTTTGTTACTTATTAAACCTTTCATAATAGTTCCTTTTTTCTGACTTTTCTTTTGATCCCTGCAGTGCAGGCCTGAGCTCATATCTGAAATTTACAGGCTAAGTCCTCAGTTTTTGCAGTTTGCTTAAAGTCTTTTTATAGGTGGTGGTTCCCTTTTTTTGCGGATGGGGGTGGTGGTGGTAACCAGGGATTGGACTTGGGGCACTTGACCACTGAGTCACATCCTCAGCCCTGTTTTATTTAGAGAGGGTCTCACTGAGTTGCTTAGTGCCTCACCATAGCTGAGGCTGGCTGTGAACTCGTGATCCTCTCAGTCTTAGCCTACTGAGATGCTGGGATTACAGGCATGCACCACTGTGCCCAGCAGTTGTTCCCTTTTTAACCACTCTAGTACACTGTCTAATCTCCAGAGATAACCATCCTCATTAGATTTGTAAAATCTTTCTCAATGTTTACATTGTTTTTTACCCTCAAATAATATTGACTTATTCCCAATAATGTAATATCTGGTGTCTGACTCATTTTCAGATTATTATAGATTTCCTTTCCCATCTCTTCACATTCCCATGGTCCTTTTTATTTTTCTCTTTAAACAATGTTAAAAAGGACATTCCCATGGTCCTTTTTAATTTTTCTCTTTAAACAACTAGTAAGTAGGTGGCAGTATCATCAATTCTAGGCTTTCTGGATCCTCAGTCCATTCCCTATTCTGGTCATCCTATAACAAAACACTAGGGAAGAAGGTGACATTATTACCTACATATATTTGCACCACCTTGAAAAAGTCTGGCCATGGCTTTACTACAGTATTTAACAGAATTAAAGCTATGAGGCCCATGCCTGTAATCTGAGCAGCTGGGGAGGCAAAGCCAGCCTTAGTAAAAGAGGAGCAACTCGATGAGACCCTGTCTCGAAATAAAGTAGGGCTGGGATGTGGCTCAGTGATTGAGTACCCAAGTTCAATCCCCAGTACCAAAAAAAAACAAACAAAAAACAAAACTATGATGAATCAAACACAAAGCTGATATATTTACTTTATGCTAATATGCAGAAATATTATTTGTTCAGCAAATATTAAATGCCCACTCTGTGGCAGGTACTTGGTAAACAGTGGTGAAAACAGTCTGAGTCCTTGTACTTTCTGGTTGGTTCTATGGACTGCTGCTGACCAGCTTAGTTTGAAATTTAAATGGTGTGTCACAGGTGAAAAGTTGTTAATGTTTAGCCCTTTTATAATGCAGCTATGAATTCTTGATAATGGTAAAAATGCCAGTGTGAGATATAAAACTTTTATAAATGTCTTACTTCCAATTCAAGAATAAACAATGAACGAAGTTCTCTCAAAGAATACTGTCCTTTTATTCTAAATGGAGACATCAAAAGGGAGTAGTATTATCACATTACTAAAATGACACAAAATATAAGCTGAATGTAGCCAGATATTTCAAAATAAACTGGGCACTGTAAAAGAATTCCACATAAAACCTCAATTACTTTTTATCCCAGGGAAGCACCATTTTACTAGGACTGACTATTGAGGTTCACTTTCCACAAAACTCGGGAAGAACTTCCTGTGAGTTGAAAAGCAACTAAATGTGAAAAATAATCCACGAGGAAATAACAAACTTAGATGGCCCATAAATTAAGTTTTCATTTGAACATAGACTAATTTTTTTCTCTCAACAAAAAAAGTACTGAAGACATGTTTATGGTTGCCTTGAAAAACAACAGACTTGTAAACTGATTTGGCTTATAGGTCCCACACCTCAGCTATCTATGTTTCTGGTACTGTTAAAAAACAAACAAACAAAAAACAGTAAAGTGTCTTTGTAAACCCTTTCATAAATTCTACCCCTCTGTTTTAGTTCTGTATATTAATCTGGATAACATGCATACTTTAATTTTTAAGGCAGATGGTAAATTTTCCTATAGGTCTACTCCATCTTGTCATGGGGCAAATACTATTCACAAAACGTAATAGTGCTTCATTTTTCTGAGGTTGAGGTAACGAGTACTGAGCTATTAAATAGCAAAGCTGCATAGGTAGAAAGATGTAGCTTAAGACACTATTTTAAGATTACTATGTTCTCTGCCTTTGGGCCAAGGTGGCTTTCCACTTGACACAATAAAAATAAAACATTCTAAAACCTAGATCCTAGAGTACCTTGGTAGGCTTTTCTCTAATCATTTTTAAAGCAGTGTAAGAAAAATACTAACTGCACAGCTACTTTTTTCAAAATATCCCCAAGGAATATGTTTTCTTTTAAAGTTATATTACATTACTTTGTATTTTGCTAACCAAGGAGA